TTCAGTGTTTCTCGTGTCCATTTGGTTATTCATTTGAATCCTTCCGTTTCCCATGACCTTTCTACTATTTCCATTATGGCTTGGATTCACCAATTAATTCGCCTGGCATATTCTTCCCTTCCTCCAGATGATTGTCACCTTTTCTGTGTTTTAATCCCATCAGATCTGTCACCTGACCATGTCCCTAGCTTCCCATTTCTATCATTCTTTGGAAGGTATAATCAGTACAGGTATGTGGACTACCCCACATACCTTTACATCTCACTACCTACATCACATGGCCGTTTCATGCTCTGTGCGTTTTTGCTTGCTTCCTGTCACCATTCTGCATGCCTCTGTTTCTTTGTGATTGGTAAGTACTTAGTTTATTTTTATTTCCTTTATAGGGGCCTTTTGTTTTGGATCTCACTCTGTGGTGAGTGGTGCCTGACCAAGTATATTTAGTCTCAAATCCACACTGTCCATCCTGTGACCAAGCTAGATGACTATAACATTGAGGCTCCTCCTACCACAGGCCTGATGTACAATTTCAGATGCTGCCAGATGTTGGTTGATCGACTTCATCTGATTGTCATCTATGCATTGATATCAATGTATAATATGTGAAACATCATAAAACATCCCAGCATCATGTTACACACATCATGGAGATGGGGTGTTCCACTGGACCAGTCATAGATATATCTCATGATCTTTTGCATCATAAATATATAATACCACTCAATTTAAGAGTAGGGCATTCTATTGGTGTCAATGGCATTATGCCCTTTCTACCACAGACCTGATGTACAATTCCAGATGCCACCAGGTATTGGTTGTAGCACTCCGCCATATCTATAGTTATACTGTAGTTTGCTCCTCCAGCTGAGGCATTCCTCCTTCCTACCATCCTACGGATGTTGGTTGCTGGTGGATCAGGTTGGTTAGTGACGGCCCAGCAACATAAGGCCTCACATGTGTTTGGTTGGTACCCTCCTCCTAGTGCGGACTGGACGATAAATTCCCAATGCTGCTAGGTTTTGGACTGGAGATACAACCCCAATATTGGGGCCCCTCTTCCTACTGTTTGCTGGATGTCGGTTCCTGGTGGATCTGGTATTGGTTGTAGCTGGATGAGACATGATTTCCTGCTTGTTTAAGGCTGGGTACCCTCTTTCGACCACGGACTGGATGAAACATTCCCAATGCTGCCAGGGTTTGGACTGGATATGAACACCTGCTTGGGATCTCCTTCTTCCTACCATCTGCTGGATGTCAGTTCCCATTTGATCAGGTGTTAGTTGTGTTGGAGGTGCACACATATGGAGATGGGTTCTTGGTACAGAAGCTCATCTTCTCTACTGCTACCCATTTTTGAGGTGAAAGGTAGTGGACTTCTCCTCTTCCTACTGTAGACCTGATATACAATTCTAGATGCTGCCAGGTGTTGGTTGAGGTTGAACTCCCATTTACGGTCTGTTGTGCCCTAGTCACTCGACACTTAGGGATCACATCACTGCCATATTTTTGTTTGGGACCCCTCCATGTTCCCACCCTTTATGTTTTGGTGACATATTCCTGAAGGACGAAGAATATACCTGGCTCAGAAGTGGTGCAGTCTCCCACTGGTGTGTTGTTTTTAATTCCTTACTGCACCTCATGGTCTTTCTTTGGGTGCTTCCTAAAGGGGGGATCATATTATCACTGGCCCTTCACTGTTCAATGTAGGATTCTAGCTATTTGTGAGAAGAGGGAAGGTATGGTGTCGGCAGTTAACATTTTCCTAAAATGTATTTCCGATAGATACTTACCTTCTGTCACATTTCCCACCTGTCCTCCCCACTTCTGGTGTGATTTGGTTGACTTTGTTATGACCAATCACGAAGTGATTAACAGGTGCATGATTAGAGAGGGTGCCAGTTATGATAAAGGTAGTGTCACACTCCTATTGGTGGAGATTCTTTGCATGATAAGCAGAAAGAAGTAGGAGTTACAAACAAGGCTATTGGCAAGCAAAAAATTTGTGCTGATGAAGGGCAGTACTGGTCAAGAAGGCTTTTGTGAAAGGAGGTATCTATCAAAAATACATTTTCAGTTTAGGAAAATGTTAACTTTAACTAAAGAGATGAAAAACATATATTATGCTCCCAACTATGTTATCTTGGTGTATGGATTTAAGACTAATATTTAGGAAGATGTGGGGGTTAATTCTAAACACTTTAGACATGTAGTTAAGATCATATATAATTATAAACTGGGATAAATTTTTAATTCTAAAACAATTACATATAAAAGTTGTTTGAATACAAAATTTGTAACAAGTATTAATTTTCATTTTAAAAAATTGGTTACTGAAGCCCCCTAACTCCATGAGGACTAACAATTTTCAGAGCTGACCAAACTTCATTAGATATCACTGAGCGTAAAGCTGAAAAGTATCGTTAACAATAAGGTTAAGTTGGTGGTTCAGTATTTTCTAGTCTCTGTTTGTTTTCATTTTCTGGTATATTGATTTGTGACATTAAATACTTCTACCATTAAGCTGTATAGAATTGGCATCATTAGTTTGTAAGCTGCTTCTTAGTTTAGATATATATAGTTCACTTATTTTTCATCAGAAGCCATTATTAATGTGTAACCTTTCATTGCAGTTTAAAATAAAGGCACTGCAAGAGAAACTAGATAAGAAACATGAAGCTTGGGAGAAAGAAAAAGATGAAGAATTTGCTATATTACTTAGAAAAAGGGAAAAGGATATTAAAGATCAGATGAAAATAGAAAGAGAGAAGGAAATTGAAATGGTGATAAAACGTCTAGAAGAAAAAGCTATGTCAACTAACGAAGAATGTGAACGGGCAGCAGAGGAAAAGATTAGGTATTTCTAATGTTCTTTTATTTATTTTTGTTTATTTGTTTAGTGTTTTTGTAATCTCAATGTATAGTCTGTTGAGAGAAATTGAAAACTTAGGTACTTTAATTATAGTTTTTAAATAAAATGCACAGTCAAGCAAATATTTAAATCCAGTTAGTAATTTCTCTATTCTCTAACACTACAATTCTTGAATTTGGTTTATCATTTATCAGTGTAAGCTGACTTCTTGAAAAAAAATGTTTTACCAAAAAGCATCAACTATTTAAAATATGAAAAAATTACCAGAAGTTAATTTATCACGCAATGGATTTCAGTCAGTGTTCCATACTTTTAAAATATTTTCAAATAATTCCGTTGCTATCAACAGTTGTGGGAAAATTTATTCTTTTTCAATATACAACTAATTAAATTCCACAAATGAAGGGAATATAAAAATACAGTGAAATAAATCATTGAGTACAGGTCAAACAACTATGTACGTAAGGCGATACCATACATTAGATAATTTGTGATCTGTAGGTTGTGTATCAGCATTTGTCTGTTTACATCACTGTTTTATCCTGGGATCGTGTTAAAACTACTAATGGATGGTTTTATTCTGCTTTTTTTTTTCATATCATAAACATCACTTTGAGTATGAGTGTAATTATTCTAAAGTAACATGCCATAAATAATTACATTGTCTTCAGTACGTCATGAAGTTCACAAGCTTGTACTATGTTTCCCTTTTGTGTTACTCTGTCTATATAATATAACTAATAACACTTTGGGTTC